CAACAACACAGATCCCAACTGACTTTCAACAAAGAGAACAGCATCAGAATTAACCACTTCATAGGATACTTTTGCTTTCCTCGATACACAAGAACAGGTATGTCCAGGGCCTGGATGCCCAGACGTTCCCTTCCATTCCACCAGAAAGCTCTTGGTGGTATTCCAGTGCAGAAATAACTGAATTTTTTCCTCCCCTACGTTACATCAACAGGGACAGAAAGTGTATTGCCTTAATTCAAAGTCAAATCTAAAACTCTTCATGGAGAAAACACACAGCAATTTTTTGGACAGAGAGTGCTCTTACCAAAACCAAACTACTGAAGCCCAAGGCATAAGCTCATACCAGTGACTCATGCCAAGAAAAATATTTTAGCATATATTATTTTATTTGTGAAATCAGGATAATTCGCACTGGGAAAAGAAATATCTGGGTTTTTTCCTTTTTTTTTTTTTCCTCTCCCTGAGTGTCCCTCCCAACAGCAAACCCTCAGGTCTAAACCTTCTGCACACTATTTTCTCCAAAACTGCACACCCCAGCCAGCAATGACAGATCGACTTTTAAAAACCCAGCACTCCTCTCCCCACCTGTAGTAACTAAACTCCAGATATAAGCTGCATTTTTCACCTGTTTCCCTCTCTCTGGAGAATTACCAACAAATTTCAATTACAGGAAAAGTAATTAAAGCTACGCAAGAACAAGAAGAACTTGCCTGGAGATCACCAAAACTTTTATGACTCAGCCATTACCTCGGCCCTACCTACAGGTGTGTTGCCTGCAAAAGAAAAATCTCCATCCTTAGGGGAATAATCCTCAGACTACAGAACACTCATTGAAACAACGCTTGTTTTCATTCACTGCTCTCCCTTCCTTTGCCTCCTCCTGACTTGTTTACAACCTGAATGGAGATTTCCCAGCTTTTCCTCCCAAACGTCTGCATAAAAAAAAAAAAAATCAGTTCACCTACTTTTGGATCAAGGTAACATAAGTATTTGCTTTATTTTTTTTTTTATGCACACGGGCCAAACACAAACAAACACAAACCCTTCAGCACAGCAAAGATAACTGGCTATGTAACCAGAACAGAGGAAAACCAACAAGACTTGGAAAATGGGTAATTATTTTCTGAAGCATCCATTTCAATTCTAGCAGCAAGTTTAGTACTGGGACAACAGAAGTGGCCTTTGGCCAGCAGCTGAGGTATGAAAGTCTGGATACTTCATATTCCTGGAGCATCCAGCTGAGGTGTAACAGGGCTTGTTAACTTTATATACTCCCACTGACTGACAGAGCAACAGGATTTCAAGTAACGACTTCCCTGTGTTATTTTATGCCACTTGTATATATTTCCCTACACTGACAGGTTCCCATCTAACGCTGCATTTGATTTTTTTTTTTTAAACACATGCAAATCTCTTCTTCTATTCGTTATGGAGATATGTGGGATGTACTAAGCAAAATATTTGTTGCTCAAGATGAAAAATTAACAACTTTTTTTTTTAATTACTGAATCAACCAAAAGAATTCTAACAAAAAGGCATTAAAGCTATTAATTGCTTAAAATTCTGTGGCCAAAATCCCACTTCAACGGTTCAGGTTAACAGATCTTTGTATGAAATTTGTTTGTATTTTTTTTAAGTATCTGTAGAAATCGATCATCACTACACGTTGTGGAACTTAAAAATCAATATGCACAATTGATAACGATAAATTTAATGAGGCATTCAGGTAACTAATCAGGGCAGCAGTACCGGCTTTTATTACTATACAAACCAACGGCTTAAAAAAATTAAATCAAAACGAGCAAAAGTGAAGCAAAAGAAAGTCTGCGCCTTCCATTTCATCAGACGTAACATTTCTGCTCCTATCAGGGATTTACACGCTAAAATAACAAACCAAAGCCGCCAGCGGGGATGCCTCAGATTAGAGCAAACGCGATGCCAGACGACTGTAAAATCTGATTTACCAGAACAACGAAAAATAACCCCGCGAGGCACCCCCGGAGGGCCCAGGGCCGGGGTCGCTCCCGGCTCCCGCAGCCCCGGCCCCGCGGCCGCCCCCTCCTCCCCGGGCAGGTGCAGCACCGACGCCCCCTAAAGACACCGCGGCCCCTTCCCAACTCCCTCCACGCACCGCAGATGGGAACGCAGGGAAAAGGGAACCGCGCTTAAGTAGATTAAGGGCTCAGCGACTCGTTTTCTGATTATCTGCGCGATCGCGACCCCGGCGCGGGGCCCCCAAACTCCGCTTCCCCCGCGGCCGCGCGCGGGGAGCACGGGAGCACAGGCAGCACATCCCGCGGGCGGGCAGGGCAGGGCAGGGCAGGGCAGAGGAGGCTCCGCCGGGGCCGCTCCCCCCGGGCAGCCCCCGCAGCCCCATCGCCGCCCGCCGAACCCACCCCCGGTCCCACCTGCGGGGCAGCGCCGCGACCCCCGCGGGAGGGGAGAGCCGCCCCCCACCCCCGAGCCCGCGGGGTCCGGCGGGGAGAGGCGGGGGAGCGCTGCGGCAGCACCTACCCACGCCGTATTTCTCCTCCTCGGTGGGACTCCACATGCTGCCGGGCGCGCCGGCCGCGGCCGCCGATCCCCGGGCACAGCGCGGCGGGCGGGCGGGCGCCGCTCATCGAGCGGGGGCGGCTTCTCCTCCCCCCCGCGCTCCGCGGGGGCGCCGCGCCGGCTGCTCCGGCCGGGGCCGCGCTCGGGGGCCGCTCCGCCGCTGCCTGGGAGCGGGGGGCGGGGGGGAGATCGCCCCCCGCCCGCTCGCCCGGGCAGCAGCAGCCGCCGCCGCCGCGCCGCTCCCCTCAGCGCCCGCGGGCGCGCAACGCCGGCCCGGCGCCTCTCGTAGCGCGGCCCCCCGCGGGCTGCGGCGCTGCGGTGGCGGCGGCCCCGCGGAGCTCGGGCGGCCCCGGCCCCTGCTCGCCCCGCGCCGCCTCCTCCGCTCCGCTCCCGCCGCCGCCGCCGGAGGACTCGCGGCTGCCGCGCCCCCCCCGCTCCCGGCGGACCCGGCGCGCACGCGCGGACCGCGCCGCCCCCCCTCGCGCTCCCCCCCCCGCTTCCCTCAGCCCCGCGCGGCCGCACGAGGCGCGCGCGGGCGCGAGGCGCGGGGGCGGTGGCGCGTGGCCCGTGAGGGGGGGGGGGGGGACGGGAGGGGGGAAGAGGCGGGGGGAAGAGGGAGAAATCCTTTAGTTTTGCGATTAGGCTGCCAGGCTTTGTAAAGGGCTTAAAAACAAAGTCATGCTCAGCCTTTTGTAGGAGAGATCCAGATGTTATGTAGATTTCTGTTTGCATGTTCGTTTTGAGCGGATCTGGCGGTGAGCGCTGTATTTACGTGTGTGTTGCAGGACTTCAACGTTTTTCGACGTTGCGCTTGTGGAATGTATGCTGGAGTATTAGCTCGGTAATGCCTTCTAATGGTAGTGCTAATTACAGTGGGGTTATTTAGCAAATTAAGTGAGATGATGCACCCCCCACCCTTGAGCACCAAATGAACTTTTCCAAACACACAGGCGCACACACACACACGAGTTAATTTTGGTGCGTTTCTGTCGCCCAATCACTTCGCTGGAGCTATACCATGCCTTACCTCAGAGCAGTCAATTACCAAAGGTACCCGGGATCATCAATCATGGGGGGTGCTTGAAGTTTAGGGGAGGAGCGATGGTCAAACTATCGATTGCTGCAGTTTTGTCCTCCCCAACCCCCCACCCTCGTTCACGGTCCCCTGCACATAAAATCTAAAACAGACTATCCCGTTAATAGTGGGATTTATCAATGATTATGTACCCGATTGTGAATGTGGCCTCATACATAGATGGCTTTTGAAAATACACGGCAGAAAAAATGATATTCAGTTAGATTTTGGTTTGCTTTACTTTTCGTGGTGATGACGATGCTTTTCACTGTTTTTTTTTTTTTTGTTGTTGTTGTTTGGTTGGACTTTTTTGGTTTTTGATTTTGTGGTTGGTTTTTTTTGTTTGTTTGTTTTTTGGGTTTTTTTGTTTGTTTGTTTGGTTTTTAACTTTAGGAAAATGACTCAAGGGATGGGTATAGATATTTGGCCTGATTTTAATAGGCGAAGGGAATGAGCTCCAGAGGTCAATAAACCCCTCCAAAATGATGAATGATTGAGTACCTGTGATGATGATAGTGATTACCGGAGCAATTAAACAGTTTGATTAAATGAGCCATCATAACAATGATGTCTGCGGGAAATCAGCCCTCACATATAAAGAAAGATAGTGTGGAGGGCTGACAAACGCCAGTGGGCATTCCTGCGTGTTCCGCTAGAGCCGAGCCTTGCAGAGCAGGGCTGTATTTACAAATATGAGGGGAATATGGAGAAAAGTCCCTCTCCTACTTTTAGCGAGAGTTGCACCCTGCTTAAAACCCTCCAGAAGCCGGAGAGCAGATCCGGTTTGTTTTTTTTTCCTAGAGGATCTACAAGATTAAAGCTAGTCCCAAGAGCAACCGAATTGCTGTGACTGACTTTCACGGGACTTTAAAGAGAGGTGAGTAGAAGAGCCCTTAGTATGTAGATCTCTTTCAAGCAGTGATTAAGTCGATTCATTTCGT